TGCTGTGATACGTGACGTTAGCTTGTTGATGTTTTCCTGGTATTACTGTGATCCGTGACGTTAGCTTGTTGATGTTTTCTTGGTATTACTGTGATCCGTGACGTTAGCTTGTTGGTGTTTTCCTGGTATTGCTGTGATACGTGACGGTAGCTTGTTGATGTTTTCCTGGTATTGCTGTGATACGTGACGGTAGCTTGTTGATGTTTTCCTGGTATTGCTGTGATCCGTGACGTTAGCTTGTTGATGTTTTCCTGGTGTTACTGTGATCCGTGACGTTAGCTTGTTGGTGTTTTCCTGGTATTACTGTGATACGTGACGTTAGCTTGTTGGTGTTTTCCTGGTATTACTGTGATACGTGACGTTAGCTTGTTGGTGTTTTCCTGGTATTACTGTGATACGTGACGTTAGCTTGTTGATGTTTTCCTGGTATTGCTGTGATACGTGACGTTAGCTTGTTGATGTTTTCCTGGTATTACTGTGATACGTGACGTTAGCTTGTTGGTGTTTTCCTGGTATTACTGTGATACGTGACGTTAGCTTGTTGGTGTTTTCCTGGTGTTACTGTGATTCGTGACGTTAGCTTGTTGATGTTTTCCTGGTGTTACTGTGATTCGTGACGTTAGCTTGTTGATGTTTTCCTGGTGTTACTGTGATCCGTGACGTTAGCTTGTTGGTGTTTTCCTGGTGTTACTGTGATCCGTGACGTTTCTTTTAGGAAACGGACATTGGCTCTCAGTGCAATCTTTCCCTGACGGAACAGCTTCCCGAAGACAAGGCAACATGTTCTGTTGCGGAGAGAGGATTTACTAGGAACAGGTCCTTGTTTCAGATACAAAGGTAAGTCCTACATATTCCTTTGGGTGTTGTTTGTGTAAACATGCTCCACAGCCTTCTAACAAATTCGACAGCATCATTATTGTTATTTTCTATCAAAAACACACAGCAACTTAACGAGGCATTGTTTCATGCGAACAATGAAAGCTGAAGTAAACACGTGTTTTAACAATACTGTTCCTGTTTTCTAGGGAACGTCAAACTTTTCGATAGTAACAAACTGTAGTTCGTGCAGAGTACTGTTGTTACATTCAGCAGGTTTTCACCACGGTCGATGTGAACCTAACTTATTCAAAGTGCAATCTAGTAGCTCGTTTTGCTTCGTCAATGAGGAAAGTAAAAAAAGTTTCGTTTTTCGTCACTTGCATATTATTATAATGGCCACGTTTTTGACATTCGTGTCGCTAAAGCTACGTCGAAAAGGTATATTGAAAAACCTTTCTGTTGTTTAACTAGAATGTGAAAAAAATTATAAAAATTTACTGAAATAGTAAATGAATTATTCTATCTCTTTTTCGAGCAAGCAACTGTTAATTTGTTTTTTGTGTAGCCTAAACTATTTTGTGTTTTAAAGGTTTCAAAATTGTCGGTCACGCATTCAGTTTTGTTGAAATTAGTTTCGGACTTCGTGTTAATATTGAACTGATTCAATTTAGAATTTTACCAAACCCCTGTTGTCTTTTATTAGACACGAATCTATTTTTTAGTTTGTGAAAAAAGTCTGTCATTTAAAATATTCGACTTATTAGATATATTACACATTTTCTCATATCTGGAATATTAAAGTCTCCTTTATTTTAGGAGTATCTCAATAGAGGACGTAATTGTCGTCAGACGCAGAATAATTATAAGTTAGACGTACATAAGAAATAAAATATTTTTATATATATATAATTTTATTATACAAGATTAATTTAGTCTTATCAAGATTCAATCATCATTAAGCCTAATATTTTACTTGTCAACAAATAAACTGTTTCGTCTAATAAATTTAAATTATTAGTATGATATTTAATTATTGTGTCATCAGCAAATAAGATATGCAATATATATATATATATGGATGGAGTAAAAATTGGGAGATCTTATACAATAAAGTACTTGGGTATATTAGTTGGGATGAGCATATTATACATGTTAGAAAAACTGTGGTCAAATATACAAGAATAATAAATAAAGTAAAACATTTGATGTTTGATTATTTTATATATTTATATTTAACATATGGTAATATATCTTAGGGAAATTCTTCTGAAAACAACTTAAATTATTTGTTTTTCCTGGCTGTTTGTCTTTTTAAAATCACGAGAGGTTTGAAAAATAAATTAACGTATCGTGAAAACTCGTTCAATTTAAAAGGAGTTTTGGAGATGGTTTAAAAGTCTCTGTCAAGTTTAAAAGTTTAAATAAACTTTTCTGTGGTGGTTTATAAAGTTACATAACTATATTTTTTTCAATTGCTTTTTAAACAGTGAAACCATTAATCACGTTCGTCAGTGCAACGGTAAGCCACCCACCCTTGGGGTGAAACCAAACACCTTGCAGCCTGTTAAGACATTAAGCCCCCAAAATTCCATCAAGTGCTTCTCCTCATCTTCCCAAACCTTTCGTGAAGCTATTCCATTTACCATTCATTCATCCTGTAGCCGCCAGGCGTCGCTCACAAGCAGTATCTTCAGCTCCCCTACTGTTCGGAAGATCTCTCTGGTAGAAGCCAAAGATCTGGACGTCAGTGAAAGTGAGGAGGATATTGAAGATGATGTAGAATTTAATGGCAAGGTAATACTAGATTTATCATTAACATAATGTGTTTATTATTATTATAAAGTACCCTGTGAGGGGAATATATGACAACTAATTTTAATTCAACTCAATATTCTTCCTAATGGCTATCATGCCGGGTAGATCACCAACGGTTACACTTAGTTTGATCCACCAACAAGATTCTTGTTTTCTTAAGTTATTTGTTCACTTGATCTCAGTACTCTTTAATATACGCATTCACAACACCCTACAGCTCTCACTTTCCTAAGGCCTGGCATAGTGCTTAGGGTGCTGGTCGTGGGTTCGAATCCCTCCGTTAGCTCTGGGGACGTTATAATGTGACTATCAATCCCACTATTCGATTAGAGTACCCAAGAGGTGAAATGGATGATGTTGACTACCTGCCTTCCCTCTAGTCTGTCACTTCTAAATTAGGGATGGTTAGTGATGTTGTTGACTACCTGCCTTCCCTCTAGTCTGTCACTTCTAAATTAGGGATGGTTAGTGATGTTGTTGACTACCTGCCTTCCCTCTAGTCTATCACTTCTAAATTAGGGATGGCTAGTGCAGATAGCGCTTGAGCAACTTTGTATGAAATTCAACAAGTAAACAAAAATGTCCCTAACTTTTCAATATTTCATAAAATCTTCAACGCTGAACCCAATATTTGAAGTTTTAATCAGATTCATTTAAAAGAATGTTAAGTAATTATGTTTGTAGTTTTAGTGTACAGGTAAGTATAGAATTTCTTATCCTTTACTTCTAGCTCTGCTGGTTGGTTGAGCCGGAAGGGTTATTTAAAGGATTATCAGGTAATTAGTGTACAGGTAAATAACGAACTTCTTACCCTTTACTTCCAGCTCTGCTGGTTGGTTGAGCCGGAAGAGTTATTTAAAGGATTGTTAAGTAACTAGTGTACAGGTAAATAACGAACTTCTTACCCTTTACTTCTAGCTCTGCTGGTTGGTTGAACCGGATGGGTTATTTAAAGGATTGTCAGGTAAATAACGAACTTCTTACCCTTTACTTCTAGCTCTGCTGGTTGGTTGAGCTGGAATGGTTATTTAAAGGATTTTTAAGT